CTGCCTTCGAGGAGCTCTGCAACAACTATGACAGGGTAACGGACGAGGTCATCAGGGCCAAGATGGAGGAGCTGGAGAGCAACCCCATGAACCCTGGTGAACGACTACTTCAACCAGAAGCACCTACTTCGCGCCCAGCTGGATAAGATGGGAGAACCCATCTCCGACAGCCGCTTCAAGGACATCTGCGTACATGGCTTCTCCGACGACTATAAGGACGTCAAACTGATGGTGTTCAGGGACCCGAACTTCAACGTCCTGGACATGCAATTCACCATGCGCAACATCGTTTTGGACGAACAATCGCGCAAGGGATGGAGGGGACGCATAGCTGGTCGAGGATTTGCCATGGCAACGACCGCGTCTGACATCATCTGCCACAGCTGCTACGAGCCGGGGCACATCGGGAGGAACTGCCCCAAGATCAAGAACAGGGCGAGGAAGAAAACGAAGCCCGCCGGAGCTACCAAGTGGTGCTCCAAGCACAACACTACGTCTCATTCGGACGAGGGATGCTACCAACAAGGAGGAAAGCGCCCGGAAGACGCCAAGGACTCAAGTAAAGCATTCACCGCGTGCTCCGACTGCACTAGCTGCTCGTCGGCGTCCAACAGGAATGACTCAAACAATGATGTGGCAGTTGTCGACTTCACCCTGGACGATAACGCCTTCGACAGCGGCTTCATGATCGCCACGTGTTCCCGCATCTCAGGACGCAACTTCGCCGCGAACTCCACCGGGGAAGGACTGCTGGTAGACACGGGAGCATCGGAGACCATGTTTGACAATCGCCTAATCCCCGACGAAACCCTTCACGATTACACCCAGCGAAACTCTACAAAGATCGTCGACGTGGCCGGAGAGAGCCAACTCACAGCCCCGGCCAAGGGCATCCTACACTGCACCGTCGAGGACAACCGAGGACAGCCACTGCGGGGGTGGATTCAGGGACTCGTCGTTCCGGGGCTTGGTCGCAACATTTTTTCGCCCATCTCCCTCCTGAAAAAGGGATTGCCTTGCGTCGTCGAAGAGAGCCCTCCGCACCTTACTATTCAAGGCAAGGTGATTCCACTCACACAAGATCCGCGAGACCAAGGCATGTGCACCGTCGACATCACGTTCGAGCAGAACGCCCAGCCATCTGGCACGAGATCCCCCGTGCCCCACCAGAAGCAGTCACAGACCCACACGGCGAACGCGGTCTGCTTTACGCTTGTGAGCGCGGACAACTGGCACAAGGGGCTTGGACATCTCAATGCTCGGAGCCTGGACATCCTCCGGAAGGACACGGGTACCGGGGATGACTATCGCGACAATCTCTCCCCTTGCGGGGTCTGCCAGATCGCGAAACACAAGCAGTCCTCCCAATTGAAGCAATCGACTCGCGAATTATGACGGCCTGGACAACTTGTGGTCATCGACAACATGGGGCCTGTCAATTCACTTGCGAAATATACAGGAGGCTACTTCCCGTACGCGTGCAAGATCACCGACGACTACACGAAAATGAAAGAAGTATACCTGCTTCGCAAAAAATCTGACACGACCGAGGCGGTGCACACGTACAACATGTGCGTCGCAGCGGCAGGAGGCTACCGGATCGAGACCATCCGCTGCGACAAGGGAGCGAGAACACCGGATCTGAATTTCGAGACTACTGCAAGAATTCAGCTATCAAGCTCGAATACGCCGCCACCAACACCCCTCAACGATTTGTTGTATCGGGACGGGACGGACAAACCCTGGCCGGAGTCACCCGGTGTCTTCTGAAGGATGGAGATATTCCGCCGTCCATGTGGGAGGAGTTAATGCTGATTGCAGCGTACCTGTTGAACAGGTCCCCACACTGGAGGAAGCTACGCCATACTCGAAGTTTTACAATATGTCACCTGATCTCTCGGGACTTCGGGTCATTGGAGCGCGCGCCTTCGTATACCACGAGCGATACCGAAAGAAGCTGGACGACACAGCTTTCGAAGGAAAGCTATGTGGTTTCGGCCTCGACAGCCAGACCTACAGGGTGTTCAATCCATCCAAAGGGGCCGTGGTCGAGAGCCGGAATATGACTTTCATCGAATCTCCACCCCGGTCAGTACCATTCCAGCTTCCACTGAAGCAAACGGGTACGAGAGCGACGTGCTGAGCTTCACCTCCCTGCTGGACAGCCCCCACTCGACGAGCGACCTGGACTTCACGGCGCAGAACGAACTCCTTCGGCAAGAAGTCCGGAAGATGCAGCAAGACAATCTCGCTCGGGAGAAGCTTCGCCTAGAACTGGATGAGAACGAGGGCGAACATGGAAACGGGCAAGATCTCAGCGACGGGGACGCCCCATCAAGGTATCTCTCATCGACGCCAGCTGGGCCGTCATCCGAAAAACCCACGCATCCAGCCCCAGCCCATCATCGTCGAACCCGTCTGAACCGCACACTTCTGCATCAACTGGGTCCTTCGGCATGCGGCGCCTGCAAGTCACCAGAGCTAGCACGCGCGGGAGGCTCACCAGCGACGATCAGATCGACGTGAACTTGCTTCTTGCCGATCTGCAAGTCTCCATGAACGACCGCGGTCGAGCCCATGCTGCAACGGGCCGTGTGGAGTTATCCGGCCTTTCCTTCACTCAGCTGGCTGAGATAGCCGATCAAGCCCAGCTCCCATGCCCTGGCGATACTGAGGATTTCGCCCACGTGGCGGAAGACCCCTTCACGGTGCCGCTTGCTCACGCCTACGTCACGACCACTCATGACCACCACGGGATCTTGGAGAAGACGAATCAAGCGATCGAAATCCCCAACAACTACGACGAAGCCATGAGCTCTCCCCAGCGCGAAGAATGGCAAGGAGCGTGCAGCAACGAAATGCACAATCTGCGGAAACACAACGTCTACAATCTGGTGCCCCTCAGTAGCGTTCCCAAGGTTCTGGAACGGTTCGGAATGCAAGAGGCCAACCCAGTGAGCACTCCTGGATACGGAACGGAAATTTCCACGAATCAACCTCAGGACCAAATCCTAGGACGCACGGACAAGAAAATCTACCAGTTGATTACAGGAAGCACCCTACCTGGCCCAGTGCACGCGATTCGACCCCTCTTACGCGGCCCTACAACTGTCCAAGGCCTGCAGCAACCCAGCGCAACTGAACATGCCAGCAGCCAAGCACGTTCTGCGATACCTGCGGGGTAATCCAGTTGTTCCTATCGTCCACAGGAGAGGACAGTTTCGGCTAGCGGCTTTTACGGATTCATCCATCGGAGCAAACCCCGACAACGGAAGATCTACCACGGGATATCTCTTCTTCCTGGCTGGAGGACTCATCAGCTACGGTGCGATTACTCAAACTCTAACCGCGCAAAGCACAGTCGAAGCCAAGACTCAAGCACTTAGCTACTCAGCCAGAGAGGCGGTCCATATATCACATTTTATGACGGAACTCAACTTCAAGACCTTCGAATCGGTTCCCATCAACAGCGACAGCACTGGAGCGCTGACAGTAGTGGCCGGGAATGCCATGCACTCTCAACGAACGAAGCACATGGCCCTGAGGTACTTTTTCATCCGGGAGCTAGTACTGCGGGGACAAGTCACTCTTCACCGGCCCAGCGAGCACCAGTTGGCTGATATCGCGACCAAGCACCTACCAAAGCACCGATTCGCCCCCATCATTCAACAGATCAAGGACTTCTCGTGTTGATTGAATATCTGTTAAGCTTCCTACTACGAGAAGAAATCAATTTTCGACACGATGCCAACGGAGGGGTCGAGGTAGACGCGATGTGGTTGACCATTGTGGAATAGTTGCTTGATCGAGGGGTCGTGTCAGGAAAAATCGTGCGTCGAGACCACCAGTAGTCGGACACGGTTTGACCTTTGAATACGATTGCAGCAACTAGTCTGCGTAGCTAAGCAGTAAAAAAAGAATCTGTCTCTCCGTGGCATGTGTTCTCTTGTTCTAGAAATATTTCGGAAGCATGCTAGGTCAAGGTCGACCGGGACATCTACGTAGAACGTGTGTAGCTTCTGGAAACCTCCTGGAACCTTCTGGAACCTTCTGGAAGTTTCTGGAAGCGTTCTGGACCTAGGTTGCACTTGATACTCTTCTAGAACGTAGGAGGGCTTCCAGAATCATGGCGGAAGCATTCTAGATCTTTCGTGTGATTGGCTTATTTGTCCGGTATTCGAGGAGAGTGGTGCAGCCCTGAGCTCGCCACCCCTCTCACTCCTCTTCAGTACCAGCATCATCGATCTGACTCGGGAGTCAGCAAATATATTAAACATGTTCATATTTCCATTCCAGGTCTCTCGCGGTTGGAGCCGCACAGAGTGTGAACCTCTAAGGTAGGCTACATAGCTTCCTGGCATCTGCAGCATCGTACTGCTGCTAGTGCACAGCGAGATTACGCTAACAGTGGGATGCAAGGTCTCCCATCCTCCAACAGACTGTGCCTTCGAGTGGATTGCAAAATATATGATGCGTGGTGGAAACCTACGGTTTGAAACCAAGAGTCGAGGTATTGTGGAAGAAAACGCGCTTGAAGCACCAACTGTTCCGTAGATCAGAAGTAGCTGGCAAGAAGGACGTCCAGTCAGAGTCTGTGTCGAAGCCGGTCCCCCCTTGAGAGGCAATCAATTAGGTTCAGCAGAGACCTGTCTTGAGGAGCTTGTACTAGATAAGGCGGGGTAATGAGCCGCTGGGTAGCGACTCAATACCTTGCAGTAGTCTTATCTGCGATGCTGATGGTGCACGAATCCCGACGCACAGCAGCTCGAATCGTTTGGGGTGCAGCTACGCGTGAACCAGAGAGACAGGCTGCAGGGGTGCGACGGGCACGCGTTCAACATGTTGCACTGTGCACTTCACATGCGGTTGCTTCTTTTCCGTAATGCACATGCACACACCCACGAAGGAACAAAATGTGAAGTCTTCCCGCTATGCGGACGCAAAGACGCACATCAGGGAGGCACGCATGCGGTATGCACCTGGCGGCGAGCGTGTTCTGTGTGTGTATGCAATCTCCGATAGCTCGGGAATTTTACCTCTCCACAACTCCTGGGATGTGATCCCCTACGTAATTGGGCCACCTTTGCCTGTGAAGCACGGCCATCTGTAGCCGAAGCACGACCGAACCGGTGTGACGAAGACCGCGCAATTTTATTTCTCGCTCAGGAGTGAACAGATCGTCAAACGGTGCCCTATCGGGTCTCGTTCTGGTCCGAAAGGCGCGATGAATATGCGTAACGGAAATCAAACTTTGGGTCCCTGGAACACCCTGCGGAACTCATGCCGATATATAGGCCTTTTGTTCCTTCCTGGGGATGAAGGAAAAAAGGTCGCTCGCTTCGCTCGCTCCGCCGCTCAGTAAAATTCAGAGCACAGTAGTGACGGAAACGTACGGCAGCTGTTGGTGATGACACGTCGACAAATGCTTTCACCCCGGGAACAAGGACAGAGCGAACTATGAACCTCGAGAACGGAGGTGGAGATTATGAAGCGGTGTGTGATGTATTGAATAGTCTCTCGCTGCCTCTTGTTGCCTCTCGCATGGTTACTGAGATATCAACCTGATTTTCACTCTGGATTGTGGGTTCTGCCCGATCGTAACTGTTACGGTGCCTTTCAGGCATCATCGCGGTCGACCGCCAGGTGTCAACGCCAGGGACAGCGAAGCTGCCGGGAGCACGGATGTACAACACGGCCATCGTACGGCAGAGCACACAGCAAGAAGGCGGAGTTCTGCTCCCAGCACAGGGAGCGAGGAATGATCGATGTGCGTAGCAAGAAGTGCGCCCACCCGGGGTGCACAACGAGGCCGAATTATGGCAAAGACGGTGACAAGAAGCCCGAGTTCTGCGCTCGGCACGCGAAACCGGGCATGGTCCATGTTCGTGGTACGAAGTGCGGCCATCCAGGGTGCACAACGCGGCCGTCCTATGGCGAAGACGGCAGCATGAAGGCGAAGTTCTGCTGCCAGCACGCGCAGAACGGCATGGTTGATGTTGTGAGCAAGAGGTGCGGTCATCCAGGGTGCACAAAGGAGCCGTCATATGGCACCGTCGACAGCAAGAAACCGGAGTACTGCTCTCAGCACGCCCAGCAGGACACGGTCGATGTTCGTGGTAAGAGGTGCGATCATGCAGGTTGCGCGAAGAAACCGTCATATGGTACAGTCGGCAGCAAGAAGCCGGAGTTCTGCGCCCAGCACGCCAAGCCAAGGATGATCCATGTGGTAGGTAAGAAATGCGGCCATGCCGGGTGCGTCAAGCAACCGTCATACGGTAGAGCCGGCAGCAAGAAGCCGGAGTTCTGTGCCCAGCACGCCAAGCCAAGGATGATCCATGTGTTTGGCAAGAAATGCGGCCATGTCGGGTGCGTCAAGCACCCGTCATACGGTAGAGCCGGCAGCAAGAAGCCGGAGTTCTGCTCTGAGCACAGGCAGCAGGGCATGGTCAATGTCGTGAGCAATAGGTGCTGCCATCCAGATTGCACGAAGCATCCGTCGTATGGAAATGACGGCAGCAAGAAGCCGGAGTTCTGCTCTGAGCACAGGCAGCAGAGTATGGTTTACCTTCATCGTAAAAAGTGCAGCCATCCAGGGCGCCAAACGCGGGCGCGCTTTGGCAAAGACGGCAGCAAGAAGGCGGAGTTCTGCTCCCAGCACGCGCAGCAGGATATGGTCAACCTTTATAGTAAGAAGTGCGGCCATCCAGGGTGCACAACGCGGCCGTCCTATTGCGGAGACGGCAGCATGAAGGCGAAGTTCTGCTCTCAGCACGCGCAGAACGGCATGGTTGATGTTGTGAGCAAGAGGTGCGGTCATCCAGGGTGCACAAAGG